TAGTAAAAGAAACCCGCAGGATCGTTTTTCTAATATTTTTTTTTGAATAATACTACCTTCATATCCCAAGCTTCATTAGTAGGTACAAAAAAGGTGAAGTTCTGTTCTGGGGTCAACACTTGCCAAGGATCAAGAGCATATCGTAATTGTAGATTTCTCAACATTTCATATGATCTCCTGGAAACAATCAATTATTGATTTTGTACACAACTGTACTGTTGAAAGGCTTACTGTAGTCGTGTTTCGTTCCTTAAGATCTCCCATAGTGACTGATACGGTACACCGAGTACCCGTTCAATGTAATGGACGATACCGTTCGTAGCGGCTACGTTATCCTGGATAATCGCTGTTTTGATGCCACCACCAATGACATAATACGCTGAAATGTCATTGACAAACTGCCATTTGTCATTTTTCCATTCTGAGGGAAGACTTACTAATATTGTTTTTCGGCCATTCTCCTTTGATAAAGTATAGTTGGCGAATGTTATCCACAGTGGAGACAATTGTCTCATTGGTAATCTCGTCCGAAGTTAGTTCTTTCGCAGGGACAATGTGCAATTTGAGCACCTTTAAAGTAGCTTTCAACCTTCGGGACGAGATTATAAATTTCATATTCGTACCTGCTCAAGCCATATTCGATCCCTAAGCAATCGGCGCTCTATCTGCTCCGGTATTCTCTCGAAAGCCTCATCATACGGTGCAAAGAATGTGACCAATCCACCTGTAGCTGAGAAGTAATTCCTAACAATTTGCCCTATAGTATTGATATATCGCATCAAAGTTCTGCAGCGATAGTTTTCCATGACAAGCTGAAAATTTTTTTTTCAGAAAATTGATAGATTGGTTGTGATAAGATTATATTATGTTATAATGGCTCACCTGATCGATTGTGTTCGATACTATACCAAGCACATTATCAATAATATGTACAACACCATTTTGGACGGGAATATTTGGAACAAGGATTTTAGCCCAAACAGCTCCACGTCGAAATTGGGAGTAGCGTTCATATACCTCCGAAACGGCAAACACTAAATAGGTGTCTATTATTGATAAGCGCATTGGCAATGTATTTTTTAAAGTTTCATCAGGGAAAAGGTTTTTGTCCTCCGAACCAGATCTAGTTTACGCATTATCTGAACTATCATTCAAGTGACCTTTCCTTTTCTCACCTACTTTTTTCTTCATTTCTAGGATAGTAATGTTTAACTCAACGAAAATCACACAAGCATTTTTGAGGAATTTTCTTTTGTTAATTTTATAAACTAGCATCCCTAGCAAGTATCCATAGCAAAACTGAACAGATGTTATTCCGAAGAAAACTTACAATCCCATCTCCCTGTTCTCCTGTCGGTGATATTTCGCATAGAAAGCTTCAACTTGAAATTGTCTTCGATGATATTTGAGGAAAACCTGCAAAGGATTGCTTTATAACTTTAGCAAGAAAACATTTTGAGCAAAACTACTTCCAAACTGAATACAAATAAGTAAACTTATGTTATTTTCAATTGAATTAGAGAAGATAGATCTTCAAACTATCAAGAAAGATAAAATGCTGTTAATTCCATTTTGTTTATTTTTTGTCACGCGCAGAATCCACATGCTATTTGAATTTTCATTACCTTATCGAAGGATAGTAGTGAATGCCAAAATCATACATCCACGCATAAGTGAAGAGCACCCTGTTCATGCCAGTAACATGGGCTAAGAGCACTTCACGGTCAATGCGATTTCTATCAATGACCTAAAATAATCATCTCAGCAACCAAGCTATCTCCTATTTATTCAAAGAATTTTTAAGGCCTTACCTTAGCAAAAGCTTTATCGTTAGGGAGAAAAAATGTGTGGAAGCCGTTCCATGCTGAACTACCGTAGATCACTAAAGCGATGTCGGGAACACGATTGAGAATATCGCGCAGCTCTCTGTAATATTGATTTACTTTTTAATTTTCATTGGTATTATAGATCAGTAGCAAATTCTTCTTGTTTTTCATTTTGTGCACAAAATTTTGGAAAAGATAAAGAACTGCTAAGAACTCGTCCATTTTGCCTTAAAAGCATTGACAGTATTGATTGGCACTCGATAGTTTAAATAAAACATGAAAATACTTTAAGATCTTTTCACCTTCTCCCTTCCTGATGTGCTTTCTCAATCAAAAACCTCAGTGTGGTTCACACTTGTTTTTGTAACGAATGAATTCGAAACAGAATTTCATAGTAGGATTATCTCACTCTGGTGATTCCTCATAGCTCATTTCGTCTCAGGAGATATTTTTGTGAAAAGAGCAGGAGAAAAGTGATGTTAGGGATGGAGCAGCGTATTTCCCATTTGAAATCTCAAGAAAAAACCAAAAGACATAGAGCAATGAAAGATTGTCAGTGAAGAACTTATCAGAGTGGTTACTCACTTTGAACTTCATCCAAAGACTTTCGTGGAAATTACATATGGAAAGAAAAAAGTAAGATATGGAAACTCATTCTCCAAAATTGATAGAAGATCAATTAAGGCAGAATTTTCAGGAAAACATCGCAACTAGTTAGAAAATTTAGTGCGAAACTAACGCTAACACCCTCTTGCTTTTTTTTCTGATAAACAATACTTTGGAATTTACTTTGCGGAACTCGAAAGATTATGATTCGACACCTTTGTAAGAGAGTTATCAGCGTTCTTTTCAATAAGAGTCTTCACATAAACATTGATTTAAAATAGGGAAAAAAATC